TGCTCCTGGTATCTCTATTCTCATTGCTGGCCCTGAGGGGTTTATCTATCCCGGATTCCCTGTGTTGCAGGCTCTTAGCAGTAGCAGTGTGCATGTTCTTGTCTAATCTGATTTGTAAGGTAGAATTGAGGTCATGATAGTAGGGATGAAGGAAACACCAAAGAACTAGAGGAAAGTTGTGTGTTTCATTGGTGCTATACTGCTCCCTGACTGGCTCATCTCTTCCCTGTGACCCCTCTGTGAGGGCATGTCCAGTTGTCTACAAGTGGACATTGGGACTCCACTCCATGCCCCACCACCATTCACCTTGGGTATGGGTCTTAGATGTCTGATACCTGATCTCATCGGCACCTCATGATCACACAGGCTGGTGTGCTTCTTCCATGTGGGCTTTGTTGCTTCTCTTCTAGATGGCCACTTGTTTATTTTCAAGCCTTTAAGATCCCAGATGCTATATCTTTTGATAGCTGGGCACCATCAGCTTTGTTCACTACATTTGCTTATGCACGCATTTTGTCTTCAGCGATCTTGTTTGAAAGGTGAGCATCACAGAATGCCGGATTGTTAGAACAAAGTGTTCTTGTGTTAAGTGAGTACTTGAGTCAAGGCCCAATGTCCATCTGCTACCTTAATTCTATATAGATATGAGTACATAGTTCTTTCCCCTCTCGTTATGTATGTATTTACATATGTACATGCTTATATTTAGACCTCTATAAATGTCCTTTGCCTCCTGTTTCTTTCCTCGATTTCCTTTTACATTCCTCTTTCCCACCAGCATGTTCGGCCTTTATTCGGGTTTAGTAATCCCTTGCTGCTACATTGCCCTTGATTAGATCCCACTAGGCATCCTATGACTTTCTTTCAACTGATTATTGTTCACTTGTTCAAATTAAAAATATTTTAATTGATGTTCTCATTTGTTTTGTCCATTGCTGATGCCCCTGATTACATCAGAAAAAGAAAAACTCGCGGTCATCAAGTTAAGTCTGACTCATAATTCTAGAGAGTAGAACTGCCCTCGTGTGTTCCTGTAACTGCTTATGGGAGTAGAAAGTTTCCTCTTTCTTCTACTTAAATAGTCTAATGTGGAGATATTTTAATGTAGATTTTATCATTTATTATGGAAAAAATGTAAGACCAAGAACATTTCTGGTAAGGGTTAAAAAACAACTAAATTTAAATTTTTAATAAAAGTTTTCAGAAAAATATATCAAAACTGTTATTCTTTAAAAGGAAAAGTGTATGGATGGAGTCAGCATTCTTCACATGGTACGCAGAGCTTTTTTATGGAAACAGTTTGAAAGGCATGTTGATAGGTCACTGAGGTCTAGTAATCTAATTACTTAATATTAATCTATATTTTATTGTGTCATCTTAACAAAGTCATTTAAATGCTTTGAGCCATAATTTGCTCATTTAGAAGATGACAGAATTAAATAGTTTCTGAAGTTCCTTTGGCATTTCCTTTTTTTTAATCCTAAAATTATTTCTTCCCTTCTGTCTCATGTTTACGTGTTGATAACTTATCACTTACTGCAGCTTATCTGTCTTTCATATTTAACATTTTATAGACTTTTAAACTACTTTAATACACTCAGGAAAGTTTGAAAAATAATGACACCTAAAATCATTGAAATCAATGACTATTACCTGCGAAGGGTCTCTGCACTACAAAAGAGTTTGCAAAAAGTAGGTGCGTTTTATTATTAAAGAGTAGAGTATTCCTTTCTATCTGAGGAGCAGATTTTAGTCTTATGTTAATAAACCCAAATGACTTATTTCTTGGTCTTGAACGAAAGATGCTGAGGTGATGGCGTTAGCTCAGCTCTGTTGATCTGAAAATGGACAGTGTGGGTACCTGCCCACTTGCCACTTTTAAAGTGAAATCACGTGAATAAAGAATGGCAACCATTTGGGCTTATATTGCAGACACTGGCTGTAGGTGTTAGACTCTTAAGCCCAAGTGTTTGCCCTTTCTCTTTATTCCTTTTTGCTTTGGTAGGTTGTAAACTTGAGCAATGTATAGATTAAGGAGAACAGTGAGCCCTGGTGGTGGTATGGTTACACATTGGGCGGCTACTTGCAGGGGCTACAATTTGAACCCCCAGTGGCTCCACGGGAGAAAGAATGCGTTTTGTGTTCCTGTCAGCAGTGACCGTCTCAGAAACCCACAGGGGTCCAGTCATCGTTGACACATGGCAGTGAGTTTGGTTTTTGGTATGAATTACAGGATCTGATTTTTATCACAGTTCTTATATTTTTAAATTCTTCCTTTCCATTCAGTTAAAAATTGTATTTCACACTAACAGTTTTAAAGCAATGTGGAAACTGGAATCCAATGATTTGGCATGCATTAGCCATATTTTTGGATTGTCTATAAATGTAATATGTTGAGATTTGATGATCCTTCAGGTGGATATTGTCACTTGGGTGAATTGAGTTCCTTACCCCTGAAATGATCTTTTAAAAACAAATTATATGTAACGCATTGTGATTAGTGATGTAGGAGTACTGTTGATATATTTTCACTAATAAATTTTCAGAATCCTTCTTTTACTGCCTGTTTACCAATAGAAATGTTTCCAGGTGTAAAGAACACACTTCCTTAAAACTTTTAAAAAATTGTTTTAATTTTGGAGCATATTTTAGCAGAAAGATTAAAATGGGTTGCTGGCTTACAAGTGACTCCCACAGCATTAGAGGTTATGTATAGGCTATCCGTTCCTCCTAAGAATCTAGTCATTGCTTTTCTTGCTTCCAGATTGTGTAATATAGCTTTAGAAGGAGATGTGTGAAGTATGACATGGGAGTAATACCATATATATGAACATTTTTTATGTTGACTACATTCTTGCAAAAATACTTCAGTCTAATATTTTTTCAAATATAGGAATCTTTGAAAAGATCAAACCTATTATTTTTCACTCTAACTTATATATTACTTAGGAAGCCCTGGTGATATAGTGGGTTACAAACTAAGTTGCTAATCAGAAGGTCAGTAGTTTGAATCTATCGGCTGCTCCCTGGGAGAAAAACTGTTCTCGTGAAGATTGAAAATCTTGGAACTTCACAGGGCGCTTCTACCCTGTCCTCTGGAGTCGCTGTGAGTCAGAATGGACTCAATAGCAGTGAGTTTGGGTGTTGTTGTTGTTGCTTGTCTATTTTTCTAAGCTCTGTTCTGATCTTCCTAAATAGATTAGGCAGCGGTAGGAAGATTAGATATCTTTATTTCCTTTTTATAGATGATATTCAGATAGTGATCTGCCTAGGTCATGTTGAGGTAAATTGCAGAATTGAGATTATAACTGAGCTTCTAGGGCTGCCTTTCTGTATTAGACTACCAGGTGGTCTTTGACAGTACTTTATCATAAGCAGCGGCAGCATTTTGTTCCGCTGTCTACCAAAACAAGAAGAATGCAACTTTGTAGTAAGTCCTCAAATTCAGATGACCAGAAGATTTGCGTTGGGTCGTGGTCGAGTGGAAGGAGGGAGAAGAGTGCAGAGTGGTCAGAAAATGAGCACCTGATTTTTTAATGGACTACTGAGAGAGACGTGTATTTAGCTATCAATAAGTTATACAATGATGATTAACTTTTGCCTTTTAGCCAGAACATTTAAAATGGTAGCACCAGATGAATGCCAGCAAGAGGGACCCATTAAGAGCGGTTCAAGGGTGAAATATTAGCTTGATTGTAAAGATATACCCAGCAAAGGATACACCATTTCAATAAATTCTGTATGTACAATTCAGTGACATTTGCCATGTAGTTTAAAATATTTTTAATTATTAATTAGGAGTTAATACATTTCATTCCATAGTTCAGTCACACGAAGCAGAATTATACAGTTGCTAACCCAGTCAGTTTCTAAGCATTCTTTTTCTTCCTGGACTTGTTGACATTGACTGCCATCACCACTGTACTCCCCACCCTGCCTTCTGGACACCCTTATTCTACTTGTCCCTATAGGTTCATCAGTCCTGGGTTTCATGTACTGAAGCACAGAAAACCATTGTATTAGTCTAGGTACTTTAGAGAAACAAATCCACAGCAACTCATGTATAAGAGAGAGTTTTATGTAAAGAAAATGTGCATCACGAAAACATCCCAACCCAATGCTGCCCAAGCCCACAAGTCCAACATTAACCCATTAACCCAACACCAGTCCACAAAGTCCTCCACCTCACAAAACAGAGGCAATGATGCCGACTGCAGGAGGAAAGCTGAGTCAGTGAACGAATAAGCATCTCAGCACTAGCAGGGGTCTCCACACGGCTGCTCCAGCACCCAGGGCTGCATCGGGATAGGTCCATGTAGCTTCTCCTTGAGGATGTCTTGTAGGAAGTCAATCTTGCAAGCTGAAGCAGGGAACTGCTAAGGCAGCTGCACCCTGGTGTGACCATCACAAAGCAAGAGACCCGAGAACTAGAAAGGCGAGGCTCACCACCCACTTATCCCTCCGCCTTTCACTTAGCCCCACATGTGATTATCGGCCAGGTTGGCACAATTAACTAACTCAGCCATATAACACAACTTCAAGAGGGTGACCTCCAATGATATAACACCTCTGAGCTATACCCTAATATGAACAAATAAAAACACAAGAAAACAAACCAGACCGAAAAATTTAAAAAATGTTGAAAACTAAATCAGGTTTAGCATGCATCAGAGGGGGTGGGGTTGGGGGAATCAACTGACAAGGTTTTAACTGTTCAAGTCAGATTTATGTCTTTGATCTTTTATAGTCATCTCTCCAAAACACTGTTTAGTAGCCACTTTCTTCCCATCCCTCAACCGTGGATAGAGGGTGTTCACTGAGGCTGGTTTCCATGTAGATCCCACACGTCTCTTGGGCTCCCACTGTCATCCACAGCCTTCTGCAAACCAGAGTCTCACAATTTAGGCTCTGATACTACTCCCTCCTTTGACTTTGGATGATATGATTTACAATCTTTTGTGCAGGCTATTGCATCCAGTAAGGGTATATTTCTGTTCCAGATGCTGCACGTTTCTTCTAAGGAGAAATACCCATTATTTACATTTGTGAACGGTCATTCCAGAGACTATGATTTTACAGCTACTACAACCCGTGAAGAAGACCTTTTCTCAGAGGATGAAAAGAGACGATTGAAGCGGTTCAGCACAGAAGAATTTGTCTTGCTGTGACGATGAACGCATTGGCATTTGATGAGAAGGACTCCTTTGAAGGGGGAAAGAAATGAAGAGAAAGAAACAAGTATATTCGAAACTGGCTATTTTCTCAAGTATCTTAATTTTATATGTTCTTGGAAAAAATATCATGTGGAAGTATGTAAATGTTAAAGATATTTTTTTCTGCAAGACAACTGATCAAATGGGTTTTCATTTCTAATAAATATTGGTTGCATTTCTATTTTCCAGAAATCTGCTAAGTATAACTGTACTTTAACTATAAGCCTTCCTACCTTCGTAAGTTTCAGCTGTTACTAATGACAAGGAAAACGAATCTCTGCTGCCACGTGGGTTGCTGAGGAACCTGCGTGGCAGAGTGGGGTATGTGTGCAGCTGCTGACACAAGGTCAGCCGTTGGAAACCGCCAGCCATTCTGCCACAGAAAGACGAGGCCTCCTGTTCCTGTAGAGTTATCATCGCAGAAGCCCACAGGGACCGTCCCCCCAGCTCGCAGGGTCCCTGTGAGTCTGAAAAGCAGGGAGTTTTGAGTGGTTGATGGTGGTTGATGAAGTAGAAGGATGCTTTTGACTAGTTTATATATTAAAGGGTAGCTTTTAGCTGTGATGTGCATCCAATTGCATAAACAGTTGTGAGTGAAAGTAATACTTAGCAATATGATTTTATAATGGCTGTTCATTGTACTTGCCATTAAACTTTCCTATGAGACCTGAATATAAAGTATTGGTTTTCCCCACAATTTAAAAAATTATATTATTAATAGTAACAGCATCCAATCACACCAGATAAAAACCAATAATAGGAGTAGTGTTTGTTTTCTATCTCAAAAATACAATTTTATGGGAACTCTACTTATTATACAGTTTCTAAATCTAAAGCTACGTACCGAGAAAGGCATCAGTCGCTGGTCCTCCTTGTGGTTTTTGCTGTTAGTGTAAATCACTGTAGCGGTGTTTATAAGCTGAGGCCACCTCTGAGCAAATCTGCCTTAAGTGTTTTGTGTGTGACTTAGTGGCAATTTGTGATATAAAAGTACCAGGTTTATTATTGAACCAGGATTAGAAAATAAAAGCTTTAATAAAGATGTAAGAATATACAGTGCCTTTGCTTTGATTTTAGTGTTGGGGATCTTTTAATCCTCTTTGAAAAAGTAATGTCTGAGATGCGGTCTGTGTATTTATAATGAAAGCAGATAGTATTGCTCCTCTAAAAACAAACTATTAACTTTCTTTATGGCCCTTCCATCTTTCAGTGTGGAAAGGAGACTTACCATAAAGACAAGATTGTGTGTCCTCTGGAGTCACTGATCGCTCCTATCAGAGAGGCGATTGACTAGGCTCAGAGTTGCATGCAAAACTGGAGCAGGGTGGGCAGATTGCTTTAATATGCCTGATGAGGAAAATCAGGTTTGACAGGTTTCCGTGTGGATAGTTTGCTGGAGTGAAATAAATGGTCTGAAATCCAAAATTTTCCTTTACCCTTGATAACATCTGGACAAATTAAGTCCAGTGCTAATTATGCTGGCATGTCAAAGCAATGTCTGGACCGGAAGCCAGTGGCATGGCACATTTTATGACTGTAATTCTCATCTAAGGAAGTGCCAGTTATCCCAGGATCCTACAATTCACACATCAAACAAGAGCACCCATACTTCCAACTGGTAACTCTTATAGTTCTCACAAGAACTGTAAAAAGATTAGTTATAGAAGACTGTGGTTTTCTTAACACATTCTGAGATCATCTTAAGGGGATTTTGAAATGACAACTGGATGATGTTGAGGTGAGAGGAGGCAGAGTTTTTACTATACTTAAAGCATTATATGAACAAAATGGATTTTATAGCACAATCATCCTCATGATTCGAAATACATAATTTATAGCCAGAATCATTTGTATAATAGTATGTATGTAAAATACAGTAATATTTGTGAACAAATGAAAATTGAGACGGGGTACTAATTCACCTTTAGCAGAGGCATAGCCAAATGTTGTGCTACTCTACTGTTGGGCGGGCAGTAACAAAACTGTATCACTAGAATTAGAATAGTGTGTGTTGTTGTTCATCAAGCCAGTTCCCACCCATAGCGACCCTATGCACAACAGAATGAAACCCCGCCCCGCCCTGCCCCAGCCTCCCATGTGTTCCTATGTTGTAGCCCATGGTTGCAGCCACTGTCCATCCGTCTCCTTGAAGGCCTTCCTCTTTTTTGCTGCCCCTCTCTTTTACCAAGCACGATGTCCTTTCCAAGGACTGGTCTGCCCTGACATGTCCAAAGTATATGAGATGAAGTCTCATAAGGAACTGTATTTCTTCCAGAACAGGTTGGTTTGCCCTTTTAGCAGTCCATGGTACTTTCAATATTCTCCAGCACCACAATTCAAATGCATATATCCTTCTTCGGTCTTCCTTATTCAATGTCCGACTTTCAGATACATGTGATGCAATGGAAAATACCATGGCTTGAGTCAGGCTCACCTTAGTACTCAAAGAAGCATCCTTGCTTTTCAAAATTCTAAAGAGGTCTGTGCAGGAGATTTACTTAATGCAACTCATCTTTTTATCTCTTGACTGCTGCTTCCATGAGCACTGATTATGGATCCAATCAAAATACAATCCTTGACAATTTTAATCTTTTCTCCATTTATCATGATGTTATCTATTGATCCAGTTGTGAGGATTTGGGTCTTCGTTACATTGAGTTGTAATCCATACTAAAGGCTACAATCTTGATCTTCATCAGCAAGTGCTTCAAGTCTTCCTCACTTTCAGGAAGCAAGGTTGTGTCACCTGTATATCACAAGTTGTTAATAAGCCTTCCTCCAATCCAGATGCCACATTCTTCTTATGATCCAGCTTCTCAGATGATTTGATCAGCATGCAGATTGAAGGAGCATGGTGAGAGAAGACAACGCTGAGGTACACTTTCCTTGGTTAAAACCATGCAGTATGCCCTTGTTCTGTTTGCACAGCTCCCTCTGGATCCATGCACGAGTTCCGCATGCGCACAAGGAAGTGTACCGGAACTCCATTCTTCTCAAGCTTACCAGAGTTTATTATGGCCCACAGAAGCCAATGTGTTGGCGTAATCAATAAACACAAGGAAACATCTTTCTGGTATTCCTTGCTTCTCTCAAGATTCATCTGACATCAGCAACAATATCCCTTGTCCCACATCCTCTTCTGAATCTGGCCTGAACCTCTGGTGGCTCCCCGTCAATGTACTGTTGTAACTGTTGTTGGATGATCTTCAGCAACATTTTGCTTGCATGTAATATTCATGATATTGTTCTATAATTTGAGCATTCTATTACATCATTTTTCTTTGGAATAGGCACACATCTGGATCTCTTCCAGTTAGTTAGTCGAATAACTGACTTCCAAATGTCCTGGCATATGAGGAGGTACCCCAAAAATTAAGCCAGAAGTTTTTCAAAGCCACGTATGTAATTTTTTTTTTTTTTTTTTTACAAAACAACCTTATCACCTTCAAAGTACTCTCTATTACACTTAGTACATTTATCACATCTGCAATTCCATTCATGGAAACACTTTTCAAGCTCATCTGTTTGGATGGCTGATAGAACCTCCCTTGTTTTTTTCTTCACCTCTTCTGCGTCTTCAAATCGCTGTCCTTTCATGTCCCTCTTCATTCACAGAAACAAAAGGAAGTCACACAGAGTTAGATCAGGTGAGTCAGTTGAGATGGGCAAGAGAGGCATGCTGTTTTTTGGCAAAAACTGGTGCACTGAGATGGTTGCATGAGCAGGTGCATGGTCATGGTGCAAAACCAGTACCCTGAAAGCTCTGACTAGTGGAGCTTTTTGCTGTATTTTTTTCTTTTTTTTTTTTACCCCTCTTAGACGATATTTCCAGTGCTTTATCAGCTTGTTTTGAAGCATTTCAATTGGTATTCTGACAATTCCTGGAGCCTTATTTGTGGCTAATGCTTTCAATGCAGTTTGAAGTTCTTCCTTCAGTACCACTGATTCTTGCTCTTATGCTGCCTCCTGAAATGGTAGAATGTCGATTAGTTCTTTTGGTACAGTGATTCTGTTTATTCTTTCTATCTTTGAATTAAATTAGAGGTATTCAGCGTTCTGTCTTTAGACTTTGGTTTGAACATACATTTCAAGTTCTGATAATACATAGATTCCCCAAATAAATAGGCCTAGTGCCCCTTTTTTCAGAAAAAAAAAATTACTCAGCACCCTCCTGACAATGAGAAACTTTGAACTATAGCCTGTAATCTAGGATCAAGTGTAGGTATCCGCTTTGCAGCTCCTGTGAATTTTTCCAGCAGCCTAGGGGGTCATATCACCTACTTTGATAGTAGTTAAACCTCATCAATAAAGTTTCTAGTCTTTTAGCCTAGACTAAAGAAAGTTAAAAGGACAGGATTCCAAGATGCGTGTTCTTTTAAAATCATGTAGGAGGTGCCTCTATTTGGACACCATAACTATTAAGATACTAGATTGTACCGGGGAGGAGATGAGCCAGTCAGGGTGCAGTGTAGCAATGACGAAACATACAACTTTTTCCTCCAGTTCCTAAATGCTTTCTCCCTGCCTGCCCTGCTCCACTCCACCCCCACCCCACCCCACCCCCGCCCCCACTATCAGGATCCCAATTCTACCTTACAAATCTGGCTAGACCAGAGGATGTACATTGGTACAAATAGGAACTGGAAACAGGGAATCCAGTGGTGAGAGTGGTTATACCGGGAGGGTGGAGGGTGGGTGGGTTGGAAAGGGGGACCCGATTACAAGGATCTACATATAACCTGAGGGATGGACAACAGAAAAGTGCGTGAAGGGAGACCGGACAGTGTAAGATATGACAAAATGTATAAATTATCAAGAGTTCATGAGGGAGGGGGAAGCGGAAAATGAGAAGCCGATATCAAGGGCTCAAGTAGAAAGGAAATGTTTTGAGCGTGATGATGGCAACAAATGTGCAAATGTGCTTGACACGACGGATGTATGGATTGTGATAAGAGTTGTAGGAGCCCCCAATAAAATGATTTTAAAACAAATAAATAAAAGATCAGCTCAGGAGAAAAAAAAAAAAAAAGATTTGACACCTGGAATCCCCTTTGTCAGTCTTTTAGCTGCCAGCCCCTAGAGTCCTGTTTGCTGACTGCGTAAATGAGAAGGAGCCACGGTGGTGTCATGGCTGTCTTTGTCATCAGGTGCTGCTGTCACGGAAAGACCACAGACGGGAAGCATGAATTAATAATTTCGTTTCTCACTGTTTTGAAGACTAGAAGTCTTATTTAAGGATCTGTGCTCTGTAAGAAAGCTTTCAGGGACCCGAGGCTCCAGCGAACACGGGAGCCCCCAGCCGCAGCCGCCACCCTGAGGGCCGTAGCGCCGCGCGTCACACAGGCCAGCGTCACAGTTGGAGGACAGCAGATCAGTGCCATTGGGCAAGGCCTCTGTGTGTTGCTGGGCATTTCTCTGGGAGATACGCAGAAAGAATTGGAGCACATGGCCCGAAAGATTTTAAACCTACGTGTGTTTGAAGATGAGAGTGGAAAGCAGTGTCAAAGAGTGTGATGGACAAGCAGTATGAGGTGCTCTGTGTCAGCCAGTTCACCCTCAAGGGGAACAAGCCAGACTTCCACCTGGCTATGCCTACTGAACAGGCTGAGGGGTTTTATAACAGCTTTGTGGAGCAGCTGCGGAAGGTAGACAGACCAGAGCGCATAAAAGATGAAAAGTTTGGTGCTTACATGCAAGTTCACATTCAGAATGATGGGCCTGTGACCATAGAACAGGAACCCCAGCTGCCAGTGCCACCACCTCTGATCCAAAGCAGCTGGCAAAGCTTGAAAAGCAACAGCAGCGGAAAGAACAGACCGGAACCAGGAGAGAAGAAAAGTAATCATCCTGTTAAAAAAAAAAGAAAGAAAAGACCAGAACCAAGGGACCTTCTGAGCGCAGCAAAGAAAGTCCTACTCCTTGGAAAGAAGACCGCAGTGCCGGCAGCGGGGCGGAGGGGTGCGTGTTCTCAGAGCGAGAGCCCTAGAGGACACCGGAATCGGTATGTTATCATTTGGAAAAATGGATCCTGAAAGATTCTTGAATCACATTCAT